AAATATTGCAAATAACAGTTAAAAATAAAAAAAGGGTATCTCTAAGCAGTTTCTCAACATTTTTTCTGTGAAAAATATGTTTTTATCCCTTTAGAATTTTCACTTATTCTTAGAGTGTACTTATAAATTTTTCAGTTAGAAACAATGTCTGTTCAATGCTGTAAGATAAGTTTATCTTTTTTATGAGCATTACTGATTCTTGTGTGCACCACTGTAAAGGCACCATTTTTGGACAAATTTATAACGTCGTAAAATCTCTTCGTAGTAAAATTATAAAAGTAAAAAGAATTGGAAAGCTTTTTAAAATAATACAAAAATAGAAATATATAAAAAAAAACTTTTTTTTCTGAATCCTATTAACAAAGTTTATAACCTGGTATCGAAAGTACTATATTTGTTTTATATTAAAACAATATGCTTTAAAAAAGCACGTTTCTTTTAGACGATTTTCATGAGAAGCATGATAATTTGCTATCAAGTATGCACATTCTTTCATTTGATTTCAGTTTTTGTTATGCTCTGAAGCAAAATATTTTTTGACCATTTTTTTTTCTCGAAGGACGCGCAGTTAATTTTTGTTGCCTTCCAAAGTTTATGTTTTATTCAATTATTTTTTATTTACTTTTTTGAAATCCCACAACTATTTCAATTTTAAGACTATATTTTATTTGCCGGAAGGGTTTCGATCCTCAAAAGGATTCACATTCTTTTTTACACAGAAAATTCTTCTCATCTGCTTTTTTCCGAAATAGTTTCATGTTTTTTTTGAAACTATATTCTTGTATATATTTACTGTTCGATTTGTTAAAGTCCATTTTACGAATATGTTCAAATGCAAATGTTAAACAAATAATTACTATTGTGATTCTGTTATTTATAATTTTCTTTTACAGAGTTATTAAATTCCGATGTCAAGTAAACATTTCTAATTAAAAGAATAATTAAGAGTCAAAATATGTACAAGAAGGTGAAACGCAGTTTAGGTGATACAGTAAATATTTACTTGTATATAATTATTATATTATTAACTATTAATTTTCGCATTTTATGAAATAGTGTTTGACATTTTATGTATCAATATTTACAGTCCTCGATTAATTACATTTATTTAGGACATTATTTAACATTTTATAACTTTTCATTATCTGACATTTTATGAATTTACATTATCTGACATTTTAAAAATTTAAGCTATAAATAATTTTTAATGAATAATGACAGCTTTCATTTAACTATTAGAGGCTACATTGACAAATATTAACTGCTACTGTTTCAAAAGATTTGATCTTCTTTGAAAGATTTGAAATTTTGTTCAGTTCAAGTTAAATGAAAATCCGTAAAAATCATTCCTACTTTTCACAAATTTATGCATATATAAATAATTTTCATTTATTTCTAAATATCTAAAATGATTTTACTTTATATGAAAATACGAATGTACATTTAAGGTATGGGATTTTGTAACCGTTTCAGATTTAGTTTTTCTGAGTGTTCATTTATGTTTGAGTACTGCTTCTATATTATTTGTTTTTTTATGTTAGAAATAACGCACTAAAGGAAACTTTCAGTTAAGATGTGGTCGAAATATAATGAATGATTTTTATGTTGAAATTATTGATATTTAGATAAGAGAGGTATCTTTTCTGATAAGCAATTATACCTATTTAGTCCTCTGACTTTATATTTTATGCAAGGGTCGCATAATGACCGTCAGAACAATGAGTTCAGATTTGTCCTTTTTCTACATTAAAAATGGTTTTATTCAATTCCACGAATTGAACGCCATTCCACGTATTGAATGATACTATCTCATTTGTCTAAATAGTAATATTGAAGTTTCCTGTCTCAAATAAGAGCAATTTTTAACTAAAATTTATCAAAGAAAAATAAACATGTTCCAATTAAAAAATTTATTTTATTTATTCGCAACACAGACTAGCTTAAATACCTTCAAATTTAGTCAGTAAAGAGGACGTATGACAACGAACTGCTTATTCCTTTTTTTTCGCAGAGTACAAGCAAGAATTGAAAATTCAATTGTTCAATTTGTGGAATAATGATACGTATTGGATTTTTTCATTATTTTTCCTGGTAATGGCATTAAAAAACCTATCGCGATAAGTCATCGTTTTTAAATGATTTTTCAGTTGCTAACTTTTACATGCGTTCATTATAAACAAAGTTTATTTTTGTGCACATATTATTACACAAAGAAAAAAGGTATGGCGAAAACAACTAGAATTCGGAGCAATTTCCCGATTTAATCTATGAGAACACCAAATCCTCAGTAAATTTTTAATAATGCTCTTTGGTATTGATTTTGGAATAATTAACAATTAAATGTTGTCTTATAGCATGTGATAAAATTTGGTTACTGTGGAAAAAATTGATAATTTTTTCACGCAACCCTAAAGCAATGCATTAAAATCATTTATTTGATTAAATTTACTTTTCAGTCCTGTTGTGCTTATCAAATGTGAAGTAACAAGAGCTATAATTTTGAAAACTGGAATTACAGGTAAACCTTTACTATAAGAATGAAAAAATTACCAAATGAATGGGTTAAATTCATCATATTTTGTTTTAATTATCCTGAATTAGGTTTTCTTCCCAGAAATTTTATTGCTATTATAAAGTCTGAAAATATTTAAAAATAACGGGCTGGCGAAAGCATAAATAAAATAAAATAAAAATATAAAGAGATAAATTTAAAAAAATAAAAGCAGACGATAAAAGTAGAACACAAGAGAGTTCTTGATATTTTGGAGTAGTTGTTGCTTTTTGGAATTCGTAGGTTTATTCTGACCCGTTACGGGATTTTCTATATGTTTTTGAAAGATTATTATTAACCCGTTATGGGAAGTTTATTGTCGTTACTGTATTTGTTGTGGTGTGAAATAAATGTTTTATTAATAAAACAAAGACTTGTTCTTAATATAGCTTGATACGCTACACTATACAGTATGGTAATTTTATCAGAATTTTTTTTACTTAAATAAAACAGGGTATGTGCATGATTAAACTGTGACTAATATATTTTAACTAAGTTTACAGCTAAGAACATAAGCTAATTTCTAATATAATTTATTAAGTAACAAAATTAATATAACTTCTATTGAAGACAAATAACAATTTTAGCGATTTAGTAAGCGATACGAAAATCAAATAGGTATAATTGTGTTTCCTTTTCTTGTTGCTGTGCCATTAATCACCATAACAAATAGCATTTTTTTTCATATAAAAAAGTAATATGCTTCATGGCACTAACGCCTATATATTAGTTTTCTCTTTCTGAAGAGGCCATTTAGAGCACTTGTGCTAACTCAATAAGAAATTCTAACTGTCAGATATCATTTGTGCCGAAATAAAAATAGTTTTATAAAGTATTTTTATTTCTTTTAAAAATTTCTGAAAGTTTTGATCTTATAATATTTTCGCATTTTATTTTAGCAGGTGTTAGGTTCCACTTGATAACGAAAATGGTTTTTTATTTACTGTTATGTCCCTGTTTTATGTTTCTTTCATATATTTTTGGTTTATATTCTAATAACCTTGTTTCAGATTTCTCTAATTTCTCTTTTTTTTGCCATTAACATTGCTTACATCGCTTTTTATATTTATTTAGTTTCAAAGATATTATTTAATGAAAACTAATAAACATGAAATATTTTTAAAGGAGCTCAATACGAATGCTCTGTATTTTAAAACCAATTTGCTATCACATTGATAAAGGGGATATTATCCTGTTTTTATCGAAATTTATTTTTAAAATTTATTTCTGTTTATTAAGGATTGTATTTTTTGTTACTTATGGTCAGATTGAAGTCTCACTATGAGTTCTACTACAACAAAAGCAAATATATTTCTTGATGAAGTGAAATACCTGAAATGTTCTCCTACACTGATTGGTCTAAAGTAGCTGCCACCTCTGTTTTAATAACAAAATTTATAATTTTCACGGTATTATACACATAAGAATCAGTAAAGTTTTTTCTGTACAATATGGAGCAAACTCTTAATTTACTGTACAATATGAAGCAAAAATCTTAAATTTAAGTTGCATATATACAATGTTTCTTAAAATAAAATTAGATTGCTAATTAAACTTACAACGCAGACAGAATATTAAGATGATTTTAAAACTCGAAAAAAAAAAGACTTTATCGAAGCATATTTAAAATTAAACTTAATATTTGAATTCTAATTTCAGAGGAATAAATTCTCGAAGAAAGTAAACACTAAGTTCTGAGGATCTTAGAATCAATTATTAAAAAAAATTGCCTTTCTTTAATTTTTAAAANTCTGCATTTGCCATGATAAGTTCTGAGACACACTTAGATGAAAGTGTAACCGGTGGAATGTATCATTTTAAAATCCATGACACCTTTTACCATCGTGTTGGTTCACTTATACCAAGTGAAGGTTGTCAGCCAAAGTACGCTCAGAATTACTTTTATGATGTAGATACAGCAGTTGAACACAGAATGCGTGAACAAGGTAATGTCAAATGTGATGCGAACATTATGCATGAAATAGCTGTATATCTGAACAGAGTGAATTCATATGTCCAATCTTTTCAAACAATGGGTGATCTCTGTTGGAATTCCAGTGATGGAAATGAAAAGGAAATATGCATGCACATCACTGTCAACGCGTCGTCTGATCAACGACGGTACAATGATGCCACAATTACAGATGTTGCAGCAATCTTTAGATGCGTAAATGGAGTACCTCCTGGGGAACGAAACCTGGTGGTGATGTCAAAGTCAGGTGGCATTCTCACAGTTTCTGTTTTAGACTCATAGTTAAACCCATTGGCTTATCCGCTACTGTTTCCCCATGGTGATTCTGGATGGCATATTAATATTTCGCACACTGTTACAAATAATCAACGAAACAAAACAACAATGAGACAGTATGCTGTCTATCGTCTTTCCATCAGAGAAACTTTCAGTTTATTGCATCGTTCATAAAAACTGTATCTTCAGTGGGTTGTGGATATGTATGTTCGAATTGAAGGCACACGCTTAAATTTTATAAAGCACAATCAAAGTAATTTGCTTGCAGATATGTATTTAAATGTAGCTGATTACATACACCAGCGTGCAGCTGAAAACAATTTGAGAGTTGGGCGTCAAGTCATTCTTCCCTCTTCTTTCATTGGTTCTCCCCGTAATATGCATCAAAACTATTTAGATGCAATGTCCATTGTTCAAAGGTTTGGCAAACCTTCTCTATTCTTAACAATGACATGCAATCCACGTTGGCCAGAGATCAGTGAAAACTTAGCGCCACGGGAATCCTCTCATTATCGACCAGATATTGTTGTGCGTGTATTTCATTGTAAGTTGAATGAACTTCTGGCCTGCATAGTAAAAAAACAAGTGTTTGGTAAAATTGCTGCTTTGATATACACAATCGAATTTCAAAAACGTGGTCTGCCACATGCCCACATGTTATTAACTCTTGATGACCATGATAACATCAGAAGTGTATCTGATATTGACAAATTTGTTTCTGCTGAAATTCCAGACAAAAATACTCATCCTAAACTTTATGAAAAAGTTGGGAATTACATGACTCATGGTCCATGTGGTGTACTTAATCCTCATTCTGTATGCATGGAGAAGGGAAAGTGCAAAAAAAAACTTTCCAAAAGATTTTAATGAAGCAACAAATGATAATGTCAATGGGTATGCACTTTACAAGCGGCGAGATGATAGTCGAACTGTTAAGGTACGAGGCCACACTGTAGACAACAGATTTATTGTTCCTTACAATCCATACTTATTGGCCAAATTTGTCTGCCACATTAATATCGAAGTTTGTTCAACTGTTCAAAGTATAAAGTATATTTATAAATATGTTTATAAAGGTTATGATTGTGCCACATTGCAATTTTCCAAGAAAAGTGAAGGAGTGGCAGTCTATGATGAAATTGACTCCTTTCTCAATGGAAGGTATGTGGGATCAACTGAAGCTGCATGGCGTATTTTTGAATATGAAATGCATTATCAATCACATAGTATTATACGACTTGAATGCCATTTACCTTTCCAGCAGACAGTGTACTTTCGAGAAGGCAATGAAGAACATGTAGCTTCATCACCAAAAGTTACAAAGCTAGAGGCATTCTATACTCTGAGCCAACAAGATCCTGCTGCTAATAATTTGTTGTATGTTGAGATTCCACAACATTATACCTGGCAAGATCAACAAAAAAAGTGGAAAACAAGACTGCGTGGAGCTGATAAAACCATCACACGTTTATACACAGTTAACCCAACTCGAAAAAAAAAAGACTATCGAAGCATATTTAAAATTAAACTTAATATTTGAATTATAATTTCAGAGGAATAAATTCTCGAAGAAACTAAACACTAAGTTCTGAGGATCTTAGAATCAATTATTAAAAAAAATTGCCTTTCTTTAATTTTTAAAATTTTAGTAAAATATCTGAAATTTTTTTTCGAAAATTGCGTTTTATATTATGTGAAATTTAATTACTAAGTTAATCTGATTAGATTGATGAAATAATATTTTAAGAGTTAAATATAAGTTTAAAAGGAACTATGAACTTAGGAGCTGATAATTCATGTTAACTCTTAGATAAGTATGCATTAAAAATGCATTATTTATTGATGGCTATTTAAACTCAAATCAAAACTAATTAGATTCTATTAATTGTTTGTGTTTGTAAACTTAATTGAAACTGTTTTGAATAATACTAACTAATCAAGAGTAACAATTCTTTTCCTTCTTTCTTTTTTTTTTTAATGGCGGGCACTTGGGATGTATTGTCCTATTGGCCAGGAGTGCCAGAACTTGTACTCTCTTCTCATTACCCAGTGGGCTCCTGTGGCGAAGTTACGGTGGTGGAGCAGCGTCGCCCAAGTCACACAACCACAAACCCGTTTATAGGGCGGGTCGCATTCACACAATCACACAAAGGAGAAAGGACATGGAACACAGAGAGAAAACATCCATGCCCTGAGCGGAATTCGAACCCGCAACCATCGGCTCCGCAGTCAGGCACGCTAACCACCAGGTCGGCTGAGTAACAGTTCTTAATCTACTTTTTTTTAAATGATCTTCTTACTTCTCTTTATTCAAAACATGTTAGAATGAGTACTATATCATTAATATTATTAATATAAGCTTTATTGTTTTCCCAGAATGGTATAGAGTTTATACTAAAGAATAATAACGAAAAAAAACGACAAAAAAAATATAATTTCGTAGACAATTTTTTGTAGTTACTGTTAGGATAATAAAATCCTTTTGTATGTTCAAATTGCCTCAACCTATAAATGTTATACTTAACTAATGCAGTTATTCTTACAAATTATTTTATTCATAATTTAATCCTTATTTACCCAAACAATATGTTTACCAGAGAAAAAGAATTAACGTAAAAATGCTATTGAGTGAAAATTAGAGTTACAAAATAAATTCTTTGCAATCATAATAATAATTTAATGGCATTATTAAAATTAATTCCATACGCCCAAATCTAATACTCTATATTTGTTTTGAAACATTTTCGTTTGTAACAAAATCATAATTAACAAAGAGCAGAGCGAAAACAAAAGAAATTATATAATTAAGCTATGTTTTCAAAAACTTGTAATTTTGGCAAATTTATATGCAAGGATATTGTTATTTTATTTCGAAGTATGGCAATGAATTTCTTTTTCCTTGTTAATTAAACTTTTTAATTACGCACTTCAGAAAGTAGTTTGATAAATATTCTTTTTAATTTCCATTACACTTTATGTAATAGAAACTTATAGACTGGCGAATAATTTTTAATTTTTGTTACACCAAGATTAATGGCTGTGGCATAGATGCTGTGTTTGTATAAATGTCAACCACTATAAGCAAAGTTTCATGTTGCCAGTAAGTATCTGTTACTTAAAGCCATCCCTCAAGGACAATTTATTTTCAGATCTAAGTAGTTTTTCTTGTTTAATTAGAGGGACCAATTAAGCTGATTTGAAAATCTGCAAAATGTCCGATTTTTATGTCCAAAATAATTTTTACCAAAGAGTAATTTTATTATGCAAAGAGTAAGTTTGCAAATTATTTTACTTGTTATTTCGAATAGTATATAATGTACCAATCATTATTTAATCAGTGTGTAATTAAACAGGTAAGAAAGATAAATAAGAAGAATAAATGTTTACAAATAATAATTACATATATACCAAAAGAATAAAAAATCACATCATGGGAACATGATGTCACAAGTGCTATCTTGAGCTGATGAAAAGATAGGAAATCTTTGTATATTTGCATCTGAATCTAATTAGGTGCATTTGTATCTTTGAGAAGAAGTCTGGCTAATTTTTTGAGCATCTTTTGTAGTACACCTAGAAAAACGCATGATCAAAACTCTCAGAGAATGGTGAAATTTACCATGGTACTGACTCTGTGTGATCATCAAAAAGCTCGATAATTTTTACCGAAATGCTTTGATGATAGGAAACCAAATTTTTATGGTTACTAGATTTTACTTTGGATTGAAGAATCAATTAAAATTTTAATTTATCTTCATGAGCACTACTATTTTATAATAAGTAAGTTTATATAAAACTTACTCTATTAATAGACTGATTATTTTGAATGTCAGTGAGACTTGGACGATTAATAAACCAGACGAAAATAGATTACTCGCTTTTGAAAGAAAGACCTTTCTGTCAATTTTTGGAGCAGTGGAAGAAAATAATACATGGAGAAGACATCGAGTTTATATAATTCTATAACAAATATATAACATCCATTTGAGAGTTATTAAGTCATACAGGATCAGATGATTGGGAGATGTTTTTAGTCGTAAACATTCTTTTCCAGCTAAAAAACTAGCATTTTTAAAGATTGAGAGTACAAAGAAGAAAGGGAGACCGCCAACAAGATGGCTGGACTTTGTGGAGAAGGATCTGAAAATATTGGGAATGAATAGATGGAGAAATCTAGTTACAAGATGAACTGTCAGGAAGGGCAGACGGAGAAAGCCTTAGCCTGCACTAGGCTGTAGTGCTGTTAAAGAAGAAAAAGCCTTGATGATAATTTTGGTGAAATTAACAATGAAATATTATTTCATAATATGCGTTAAAATTTTGTTATTGTGGTAAAAATTTGGTAATTTTATCATGATACCCTAGATCACAAGCACGAACATTCGACTAAATTTACTTTTCAGTGTTGTATTCTTACTTAATGTGTGACAAAGAGATAAATAATTTTGAAAGCCAGAATTTCTGGTAAACCTTTACCATATGAATAGAAACCGTTATCATAAGAATGGTTTTAATAACTTATATTTTGGTTTTATTAACCAGTATTTCGGTTTTTTTTGCCAGAAATGTCATTGCCATACAGTAAGTAATTTTACCAGAATTTTTTCTACTCGTAGGAATAGTCATACATGTTAAACATGAGCGGAAGTATGGTTTAAAAAATTATTTTGAATGAATAATGTTTTTTAGTTTGATGTTCGTATTTTGAATGGCTCACGTCCTTATATATTTGGTATATTTCTATGTGATTGTTCATTTTTAATTTTTCATGCTTGTTTTTCTTTTTGGCCATTAAGGGATAATATTTTTGGTAATTAAAGAAAAAAATTATACAATTTTAACGACTGATTGTTTTTCTGGAGCTAATTTAAATAAGAAAATATCAAAGTAACAATGAATAAATTCTTCTTTAACTATTTTTCTCGGGAAATTTCTAACAGTGTCGTAATTTATTCAAATTATTCATTTCTCGTAATTTTCCATATATTTCAAACTAAAAACAAGGAGTAAGAAAGAGCATTTGTTGAGAATTGTATGACTTATTTATTACTATTCAATCAATTCCCTAACTGCAATCATAAAATTTCTATAATATTTTTAATATAAATACTCAAGTATATCTTAAACTTTCAATACTTTTACAGTTTCTGCGATTTCCATTTCTACGGTACTTTCAATATGGATACGGAAATATTTTTGTAGTTTTACCATTAATTCCTTTTCTGTATGATTTTTATCTGAATATTCAAGTGTTTCCGAAATTTTTTCCATTAATTCCCTTTCTACTGAATTTTTCTATGAATATTGAAATATTTCTGAAATATTTAGCAATAATTCCTTTTATACAGTATTTTTAAAATGAATGTGGAATTAATTTTGAAATTGTTACTATTAATTGCATTTGTACAGTGCTTTTAAAGTAAATATGGAATTGTTTTAAATGTTTATGATTAAATTATCAAGGGTAGATTTAATTTTTTAAGTTGAATGATTTTTTGATTACGAATGTAATTATTATCCATAATAACCAATAAAATTATGCATGATTTCTGCACACCAGTAATAATTTGCTCATATATTTAGTGTAGTGTAAAAAACTCTGGATCTTTACGGAAAAAAGCACCGGCACTCATGGTGACGGTTTCGTTTTACCGTAAAATCCGTTTTCACCCAAAAATGTTGCGGAGTAAAAAATCTGATTTATCATTGTTCTTATAGCAATAATTACAGTCAAATCGCTGAATCACTCTAATTAAATAAAAACTATTGTAAAATTTGCGTTTTAATATTTTACGATAGAAATGAATTTTACAGAAAAATGGACATCACGCCATGATGCTTACTTTATACCTTAATGCTGTCTGGAATTTCTTACAGTGTGTCTGGAATGCTTTCTGGAATTTCTTACAGTATTTATAGTTCAAGGAAAAGGTCTGGAAGTGAGTATTCGATCCAATTTTAATTCTAATTTATTTGTTAGTAGAACTCTTTGATGCAAAATAAAATCGAATTAAAAAAATACATTTTTATACCTAACTTTTCAATACTTATAATAAAATAGAACCTAAAATTGAATACTTAAGAATTATTTTTTATGAGTTCGATAACACCATCCCATCTGTCGATAAATACAGAAAATAGTTTTCTCAGTTTTATTGTGTAAAAGACTTTTCTTTGTTGAAATTTTGATTTTTATCACCATTCTGGTCATCGATGCGCAGTAGCGTAACCATAATCTTTAATTCCGAATTCACTTATTTTATTTTTGGTCACGAAATGACGATATTCTAACAGCAGCAGATGGCATCACAATAAGACCCAATTTCCATTTCAAAAGCGAAAGAAAAACACAGGACAGTGTTATGAAAATTCTTTTAGTTTCTCCTGCATTAATTTGAAAACTTTCTGGCGTCTGGTTCGGTCATAAATATTTATTTCATCTTTTCATAATCTGATTTTTTTCCTC